TTTATTTCTCTTCTCTTTACTGCCTAAGCTTTAATCCTGTTCTTATACCAACTGTATGCGTGTGTGTGTGTGTGTGTGTATGTTAGACTAGTTTAAGTGTTTATGTAGTTAATAAAGTCTTACTTGTATCACACTTGAGGTTGTTCATTGTTTGCTCATAACCGCAGTCCCTAATCATGCAGATTTCTGCTACATGCTCTGTGTAGTATTGTACAATAAGAAAGTTATTTTCCTTAACCAGGAAATTGACGTTCTTAGAATTGACAAGACAGTTGACCCTGAGAGGTCAAGTAAACACTTACAGCGGATCTAAATATTTATAATTAATTATAACTAGTTATGATTAATTATTCATATTTCCCCTTTGAGCTGATTCGCTACATTGTGTTTGTGGCATGTGCGCACCTCTTTTGCATTTTTGTTAAAAAAATCTTTAACATAAGTCAAGATATTTACAGATGTTTTGCATAGAAAAAACATGAAACCTCTGCAGTTGAGAAGGAAGTAGTTAGCATCTGGACTGAATGATCCACTGACGTATCCACAGCTTAAATTACAGGAAAGACATCGGCGGTTGAAGGATCCTGTGGTGTTGGCGCTAAAAAAAACAACACATGTCATCAGTGCAATGCTTCCCGATGACATCAGTGTGTGTCACATCTTCTGTCATACCTGTAGAGGTGACGCCGTCTTGCATCGTCTTCTGTACTCAGAAAGTATCTGCAAAGACATTGCTGTTACAGATATCTATTTTACAATGTTACAAAAGTGGATAATGGCATATTGCTTTATTTTAGTGTTTATTGACAACATGGATAGAATCCAGCATCTGGGTCTTTTGAAAGTTGCTTACACAAGTTTGGTGTCCTCATTGTAGGCTAATATCTCCGTCACGTCCCAGTCTCCTGACGTCAGCGACTGTAGTGTGTCTGTGCTGCTGTTGGGCTAAAAAACAACAACAAAAGAAAGTCACTTCTTACCTTTAACATGCGGTTAAAGGGATAGTTCACCCAAAATTTTCATTTTTGGGTGAACTATACTTTAAAGGAACATGCCACTATTTTTGAAAATAGGCTCATTTTCCAACTCCCCTAGAGTTAAACAGTTGAGTTTTTCCGTTTTCAAATCCATTCAGCCGATCTCCGGGTCTGGCGGTAGCACTTAGCATAGATCATTGAATCTGATTAGACCAGTGATGGGCAAACTTGGCCCTTCCAGGCCACTTTCCTGCAGAGATTTGATCCAACCCTGATAAAACTCACCTGCCTGTAGCCTTCTAGTAGTCATGAAGACAATGATTAGCTGGTTCATTTGTGCTTGATTAGGGTTGGAGCTAAACTCTGAAGGAAAGTGGCCTGGAAGTGCTAACGGTCTAATCAGATTCAATGATCTATGCTAAGCTACAGCTAAAAGTGCTACCGCCAGACCCGGAGATCGGCTGAATGGATTCGAAAACGGTAAAACTCAACTGTTTAACTCTAGGGGAGTTGGAAAATTAGCCTATTTTCAAAAATAGTGGCGTGCTCCTTTAAACCTTCCTAAGTAGCGTGTAGTTTCTCAGTGAAAGCTCACCTGGGAAGTGGACATGGATATGTGGAAGAACTTCCCTCGGCCGCCCTGTGGAACGGCTCGGGTGAAGAAGAACCTGTATCCGTCTCTGGAGAACAGCGGGGGTTCGTTCTGCAAAGAGATTCACGAACATTCGAGCAGCACTCTTACACACACATCCCACACGCGTGATGCGTGACTCACCTGTCTGTGAAGCCAGCTGTCACTCTCATCTTCATGTTTCTGAAAACACACAGACAGATTATTGTTTTTTTCTCAATATTGTTCGACAAAGTCCTTTATATACAGTCGAAGCACTGACTAATCTTTTCTTTTATTGAACTGACATGCATTTTAATACATTTGGATGCAACAATAGGCGCTGTCACCCTTAAAGAAAGAAAGAAAGAAAATTAAAGGTCATGACGTAATTCTCACACTTTCATTTGTGTCATTTTACAGTCTTAATGACTTAAGCATTATTATAAAACATAGACAATAGTGATAATTAAGTGTGCGTTGGTGTATATCAGAAGATACCTTTGTGCAGATGCCTGTGGTGGCCTCACACAAGGTCAGGATGGAGTTGTTCTGCGCTCGGTTCAGCCAGTTTACTGCTAGTTTGGTGCTGGTTGCCCACTTCACCATGGTGATGTAGTAATCTTTCCTACAGAGGGAACCTGGTTAAAATACCACTTCAAACTGTGTCAAATAGAGCCTGTGTACATCTTTTTGTGGGTAAATGTGTTTATTTATTTTTTTTAAATCTAACTTGACAAAATAATGTTCTTTTTAGCAACATCATATGACCCCTTTAATATAACGTTTCTGACCCCAAACATTTGAATGGTAGGGTATATTGTCAAAATGAAGACAATAAAAATCGGTTATCAAAAGTCAGCCCAAAAATTATTTAGAAAAGTGAAGTTAGTTTTTTAAAGGTTTTACTATAATGTTTTGGATGCCACTTGGTTTGACATTTTCAGGGTCCAAATACTTTTGGGGGTCACTGTAAACTCCCCAATGTGACAGATGAGCATGATAAAGCATGTTGTTGTGTGGTCTCTGGCAGATCTTCACCTGATCCTGGGGTCTTCTGGTTTCCTCATCCTCACTGTGTGTAAAGGGCCGTTCAGACTCACCACTGACAAATAGATATCAGGGTTCTCTTCCCCAGCCTACAGAGACAAAAGAGATCTCATCATGGGACCCTTAAAGGGGTATTTCACTAAACAATGAAAATGAGTTTTTTCTGTTGAGCACAAATAAAGATATTTTAAAGAATGTTGGAAAACAAACAGTTAGCCAGGTAGCCATTGGCTTCCATTATATGGAAAAAATACTATGGAAGTCAATGGGTTGCTATCAACTGTTTGGTTAACAACATTCTTCAAAATATCTTAATTTGTGCTCAACAGAAGAAAGAATCTCAGACAGGCTTGGAACAACTCGTTTTGGGTGAACTATCCCTTCAAACCGCATGATTCTAGAGTCATTTGTGACAAACACCACAAAATATATTTTGTGTAAACAATTTCACTGGTAAAGCACCTGCAATTTCCCACTGTAGGCTATACTTTGAGTGCACTGTAAGCTGCTTTTGGAAAAAATCTGTCTGGCAAATGAATAAATGTAAATTAGGTATGTTGCACAAAAGCATAAACATGCAGATGGACAGTTATTGCTTGCCATAACTATTATAAAACCTGATTTAGTTATGTCACTACAGTGCTTAAAGGGATAGTTCCCACAAAAATGAAAAATCTGTCATACTTTACCCTCATGTAGTTCCAACAAAGAAGTGTTTCAGTCATTGTCAAAAGGAATATTTTTAATATTCTCTCATCATTTTGTATCCTTCCACTGAAGCAGTGTGTGCATGCTTGACGCTTGAGGAGCAATGAGATTTGTTCTCGTGCATCAGGCAAGCATGACTGAGTTTCTGTTGATCATATTTTATGTGCTCTATGTATGTGAATAACATATGTTTATCATATAAAGCGATCAGGTCTCTTCAACATGCTGATTAAACCACTTGGTTAAATCATTTTTTCAAGCTTGAAAATGTTGGTCGACTTTCAATGGATGAACTAAAACAATGAGAGGATATAACAAACACCTTCTTTTGTGTTCTGAAGATAAACCAAAGTCTTATAGTTCTGAAAAACATGACAGATTTGTCATTTTTGGGCGCACTGTCCCTTTAAATGTCACTCAAGACAACAGAACCACCCATTTCAAGATTACAGAGACATTGGAAGATACTGACATTGAGGAACACACACAACCAAGCCTTGGTTTGATCGTAAAAAGAAGCTGCAGAGATTTACTTTAGGGTAGCGGTACTCCTGTCCGCTGGGATACAGTGCGTTTGTGAACATGGGTATCTCCATCTTGGGCACCAGAGTGTCATTGATGGTGGCATATGCCAGTCTGAGACCATCTGGTGACCACCAGTGAGCGATGTGACTCTGGAAGATCTCCTCTGTGAACACAAATGAATAAAACACGAGTGGATTAAACACAAAACTGAAGCTTTATACTAAAGGAAGTCTACACTGCACACAAACAAGTGACGCATGTCTTTTAAAGCTTTGTTGCATGGTAACTGCATCTCTGTCAGATCCTAATATGTGTTAGAGGATTAAATATCCTTTCAAGCAAAGAGAGGACATGCTGCAAAACACATAACTGCAACATGTGCAAAAACAGCACGTGTGATTTATCGCATCCATTTGCCTGTAGGCTGCTGCCTGGAGTCTCATCCATCACTCCATGCAGCAGACAGCCGAGAGCTGGCGGAGGAACACAGCGGCCGTCAGACGAGGGAATGTAAAATATGACTGTCTGTAGCACTGCAAACTGGACCTCTAGAGCTCATTAAGACATTACGTAACCTAGACGAGAACAACACTGACAGGACTCATTTTATTTGTTTATTTCTTGTGCAAGAATAGGGCTTATTCAATACGTTCATACATTCTTATGCAAAATGTGGCACTAAAACCAACAATCTGCTTGATGATTTAAACAGAAATTCATTGATAAATATAAGCCCTGATGACTATGGACGTCAATAGATATTTTGTATAATTGTTCTGTTCAAACCTGCATCACCAATTTCAGCACCTGGGACATTAACCACTGCACCATGGCTCCAAATTTTTTGAAGAATAGTTCACCCAGTAATTAAAATTTTGTCTTTTTTTTAATTTAATGTCAATACAATACCTAAATTAAGCAGATGTGTGTGTGTCTTGTAGGCAGCTTCTGTGTTATTTTAGTAGCATTTGTATATTTTTATAATATTTATTTGTTTTTATTTTATATTTTCTGTTTTATTTTAATTTTAATTTAAGTTTTAGTAACTCTATAATGTGCTTTTGTCAATATAATAGTTATTTTTACTAATATTTATATGCTTTATGGTATTTATTTTTTTTTATTTTAATTTAAGTTTTAGTAGCTATGTGCAATTGTCATTTTAACATTTTTTCTAGCAATATTTATATACTTTTATCATATTTATTTGCTTTTATTTTTATATTTTCAGATTTAGCTAAAGTTTTAGTAGCTCTGTAATGTGCTGTTAATATTTCTATTTAGTTTCAGTTTTTTAGTTTTAGTAAATTTCAGTGTTTCATCTAATTTTATTTCAGTAATATTTATATAAAATTTTATTTGACCTTTTTTTCAGGTAACAAAAGCTAATTTGAATAGTTTTAGGTTTACTTAATACCAACATGGTTTTCCATACAACAAAAGTAGCACGAAAACACAATAAAATGGTTTATTTGACTCATCGTTTCATATTACCATCCATGTTTGTTTGTTTTTTGGAAAGGAGCAGCTTAAACATTCTTCAAAATATCTTCTTTTATGTTCCACGAATGACAAAATGTACATTTTCCCTATGTGAATCAATTCTTACACTGTCTGTTCTGAATAAATGCTATCTGTCATGAAATGTGAGACCACGGGATGGCAGTAGAGGTCTTTACACAGCAAAGAATCAATGGATGTCATTAGAGCATGAGACTAAGAATAGCCTCAGACTGAGATGTTAATTTAGGATAAAACCAATTACTGACGTACAATACAGTTCAGTATGTGTCACAAACAAACACGCTGCCAATGTGCCCTCATACAGCAGGAACGACAGAACTACAGAGCTAACAAGGACAAGGAAAAAACATAACTGATGAAACACCTGCCAGATGGATAATATATCTAGAACATTATTCTAAATCATGCAGTATTCCCACACTGCAGACGGCATAAAGCCAGGGAAATCTGTGTGAATTTGAGTGTAAGCAAACACTTGATATAGCTAACAGAGAAAGAAAAAACACTAAATGAAGTCTAAATGAACATAGTCTTAAGCAAACCTAGTATTTTAGGATGAGATGCTACATTAATCATTATGAGTATTAAAATCATAATGATTGTGAGAGATTATACTCAAATGCTGTCTTAAATCACACTATTGCACAATGGATTATAAAACGGTTTAATCTTGAGCTCACATCCCAGTGCTGTTCATACACTAACAGGTCTAATAATATGTACATTTTTAACAAAGGCTGAATTTTTTTTCAGTTTAATATGGAGTATGTTTAGCATTTATAGGCTTATGATGAAATGAAAACATGGTTTTAATTTACGACTATTGAATGTCACAAATTTAGCTGCTTTTTACACATATTTGTATCTGCCAGACCAAGGTACTGAAAGAGTTTGGTGCGTCTACTTCTGTGAAATGAACTCAGTATGACCTTGAAGGGGTTCAGAGACACCCAAAGTGATAGTTCACCCAAAAATGTTTTTATTGGTTGTTCGGATGTTTGTGGTTGTTCGGAACCCGTAAGGCCTTCGTTCATCTTCGGAACACAATTTAAGATATTTTTGATTAAATCGGAGGGCTCTCTGACCCTCCCATAGACAGCAAGGTAACTACCAAGTTAAGAACAGCATCATGATGCGAGCGTGTGGCGGTGCTGACCCAGATCCGGCGTGATGACGTCATTACACCGGATCTGGGTCAGCGCTGCCACACGCTCGCGTCATGGTGCTGTCGTGAACGCGCTTCCAAAGTGACGCAGTAGAGATGAAAATGTGGAATAAAGTCATTATTTTTGTTTTCTTTGCACAAAAAAGTATTCTCGTAGCGTCGTAACTTTACAGTTGAACCACTGATGTCACACGGACTACTTTGTCGATCATCTTGGTACTTTTCTGGACCTTGATCGTGGTAGTTACCTTGCTGTCTACGGGAGGGTCAGGGAGCCCTCAGATTTCATCAAAAATATCTTAAATTGTGTTCCGAAGATGAACAAAGGTCTAACGGGTTTCGAACAACACGAGTAATTAATGACAGAATTTTGATTTTAACCCTTTAATGCTTTAATCTGATTCCCGATCATATTTTTCCAGAAAAGGTCCTTAGTGATAAGTATGAACAGAGACAAATGTGATACGTAATTGCATTTACAGTAACTATTCTTCATTGCAATTATGGGTACTTTATTTTAGGGACTAAATCTCACTATTAACTAGCATGCATATTACTAGCATATTAGCTGTTTATTAGTAATTATAAAGCACATATTGATGCCTTATTCTGCATGACTATATTTTAGATCCCTTAATCCACCCCATACCAAAACTTAACAACTACTTTATTGTGGCAAAAACAGTAGCTAATAGTGAGAATTGGACCTTAAAATAAAGTGAGACCCAACTAGGTTTTGTAAAAGAACAGGTTCAGTGTCCAGAATTACTTTCACTTTTACTTGCTCGGAATCAAAACTTCAGTATCAAAATCAAAAAACAGTACAGTAACAGTAATAATACTAATATTAATTGCTATTATAAAGTACTTTAGCAAATTAATCAAATTAAAATGAACAAACAAACTTTGACTTGTGAAAATTTAGTTATTGTGTCTTGTAGAAAATATTAAAATATCTGTTAAGTCCATTTCATCAGGAAGGTTTAAAAAAATGATGTTTTTCTTGCTATTCACAGTATATGTATTTTTCCAAATTATAACTTTCTCTGGCAAAATCTGCCAGATCTAAACTAATAAGCAGAGATGTATATTCCAGCAATGTCGTTTCAATAAAAATAAAAAGTAATATATTCATATAACTAAAGAAGAAACGTGCTGAGTCAGAGAGATGGATGAGACACTGTATACAAATCAACAGAATCTCCACCCAGCCTAAACACACCAGACAGTCACAATCACTTCTGCTCTTTTATTACATGCACACAACCCTCTGGGTTTTTTATTATTCATGCTTATAGGTTTTACCTTCATAGAGCCAGTCAGCAAGTCCATTAAATACGCCCCCCAGACTCCCTGTGGACACCAGACGGATTGATGGGCTGTTCACTTGCGCTTTGTAGTAGATGTTATTCTCAAAGATGAAAATCTGTCAGGAAAGAAGAATGAACTATTGTTGGAAAGACCATGTCAAACCGGACAAAGTAACTCCTGAAACTGAAGGATTTTAGAGCACAACAGCAGGGTTATAGATATAAAAATCCCATTCATTTTCTCTATAGGAAAAATCGAATTAGCGATAATGTATACAACTTTCAAGACAGATCTACCATGATCTCTAAGTGATAGTACTTCACTAGTATGATTTCAGCTTGGGTTAAAAACTACACTACCCATAATCCCTGAAGTGAGATACATCAATCAGAAAGTTGCTCTTATTATATAAACAGACATATAATAGCGCTGCAAACGCCGATGAAACACTGTGAATGGCATTATTGACCTGGTCGCCCTCAAACTACTGATACATTTCTGAGCATTTTACAATAGGTTTCAAATGTATTGAATCTTACAAATGAAAGCCATACAGTCATGGATTTATATTACAGAGAGTAGTTCATTTCCTCATACAAGAACGCAAGCACACAGCCTTGTATCTGGGTGTTTTTATTCAGGTTTTCAAATGTTGTAATATGGCTTAAAAATATTGAATTGAGAATTTTTGACATGCATATGGAGAAAACAAAGGGGAAAATAGTTCCAGGAACAAGGCTGCTGGAAAAATGTGGTCACTGTTGTGCTCTGTAGGACAAATGAACATGTCTGCACTTTGTATGAATGATGAAAAGCCAATTCAAAGTTTATTTAACAGTATTCAGCTGCATACCAAGGTCACGAAGCTGTTGTACAAAAGTAAAACAGAGTGACTACACTAACACTGAAATGGAGAAAAAAATAATTTAAACGATCAATTTACACTAAAATTGAGTATATATGTGTCGTAACATCTCACACATCTCTAGTGAATATTTACGATGTTGTGTGATGCTACAGTAATCAGGGTTGGTGGCAGACTGTGGGAGAGGTAATGTGTGTGTGAAAAGCTCTGGTGGGATTTATTCAGCAGCCAAAATCACGGAAAAATATGCTGTACTAACTTATGCAAATCTACACTGTAAAAAATGATTGTGGTTTTAACAGTAAAAGACTGTAAAAATGCTACAGTAAAAACCTGTTAACAGTACGTTTCCACACTATATTCAATGAATAAATGTAATTACATTTAATGTAATTTTACAGTAAAATACTGTTAAAAATAAGTTTTTTGGAAGTGAAAAAGAAAGTCATTGTATAATTTACAGTGAAAAAACGTAAATTGACACTCCCAGAATTCCCTGCATATTTGATGTTTTTTTTGTTGAAATAACATGTTTTATCTTAGTTTTTTCTTATCAGTTGTGTACACCAGGGTTTAATCTTACATCTAATGTTGTTAAATTAATGTTTATTGTATTATTTCAGTATCATGTGTGTCACCGTGATGGGGTTTAGTGTTTGTGTGAATGACGCTGTGCAACTTCTATATATAAGTATTGCCCTCCTCAGCTCGTAGAAAAGCTGTTTGTGATGAGCTTTGGTTCATCATGTGACTTTCTCGTCACCATCAGTTTTTGGTGGTTATCAGTGCATTACAATGGTTCAAAACAGATATTAACACTTCAATATGTTAGTTTATTAACATTACATCAGTTAATAAAATACGGTATTTTAATGTAAATTTAAGTTAAGTCTGTAAAACCTAAAATGTTGCTACCATATTTTTTACAGTGAAGTTCTGGCAACCACAGCTGCCGGTATTTTACCGTAAATGTCACAGATTTTTTTTTTTACAGTGTAACAGACCATGCCTGAAAAAAAAAGACTTTTAAAAACAAAAATGATAATAAATTACAATGTAACAGTATTTCACTACAGTTTTTCTCAGTCGCTTTAGTGCATTTCTCAAAACAATTTGTACAAATAGCACCACACAATGGATTACTTGCAAAAGCCTGTAACTTACTCAAAATCTTTAGCTCATCTCTCAAAAGTAAGTATTTATGTCAATGAACATATCAGTGCCATCAGAAT